ATTTTCAAGTCATAAGCATGCTACAGAGACTTTACTAACTGCTTTTCACCTCTTCACCTTGCCTCTTCATACTTACCTAGTCTACATCATTTATTTTTTAGTTAGCCAGTGTCCCAGAATTTAGGCATTTTCCTGCAGCTATTAAAGAGATTATCCCTCTTTTTATAAACCAATATTTAAAGAATACTTTTTTGTACTTTGTACATTTCTTTTGACTTCTTTTTCTCAAAAAAACTTAGAAATATTTTAAGTACAAAGATATACTGGAATCAGTCTGGTTCCGTGAAGAACGTGAGAAGATACTGATGCTTGGTTTCAGCATGCTGAGGCCTGAGAATCTGCCTTTTATGAAAGCAGTGTGTGATGTTCTCTTTAAAGAACCGTGTGTGCAGACCCAAGTTACTCCCACTTGCCGACTGCCATTGCCACATTAACTGTTTCTTTATATTGAGACTTACCTTCAAAATACCTGTTAATACCATAGTAAAAGTGAGTTACCCTACAAGTTTCAGAGGTAACTCAAACTTGCTAGTAGGTAAAATGTGGGGTGTACCCCAAGAACCTAGAAAATCCCAGTTGTCAGAAGTTGAGTGTAGCGTGTACTGATAACTTTTCCTGGCAGCTTTTCTATTTGTAGAAAACCAGTTTCTGGATAGAAACCAGATAGAAATCCATTTTTTACATTTTCCATTCACCTGCCTCTGAAATATAACAAAGGTATACTTGCACACAAACGACCAACAATACTGCTAGTTCCCCAAGAGGTGCCGCTCTTTCTCAGTGGGTTCAGGCCAATCTGCAGCAAGTTTCACACTCCCAGACACACAGCTTGTCACGGGCAGAGTTAGGAAATCTATTTCTTGATTTCATGGTGGTGCTCTGAGGTCGCTTGTCCTGGAGTTCTGGGCCACTGTGAAGGGGAACGTAATGGCCACTTTGTGTCTAAAGGAGGAAACACCTGTTTAGCCGATGCTCATGTGCTGTACAGATGATCAGAACTTTATCAGGTGTAGCAGGAACTGTGAACTCTGGGGAGGATCATTTATTTGCTCTATTTGCTCTATGTGGAAAACTTATTTTCCTATCAGTGAATAGGTAAACTTCCTCCCCATCCCCAGCCCTACCTACCCCCACCCCAGGCCCAGAATGTAGTACTCTTTTGAGAAATTGAATTATTTCTTGTTTTTCTGACCTTTTCATAATTCTCTACCTTTATTTTATTTTCCTTCGCTGAGACCTCATTAATTTTAAGTTTGCAGAACAGAAGAAGATTCTGTAGGAATCTAGAGTAGTGTAATTCGAGTTCCACTTTTAATCAGGGCTGAATCCTGTTTGTCCACTACTTGACAATTAAGTTGATCCCCCTGTGTCAGAGCCCAAAGGCTGATCTCTAAATGGAGCAGACACCATTGATTGGTTATCTAGTCATTCATCTGCCATTGTTGTACATGGTTTTGTCTTTTGTTTTTTGTTTTTGGGTTTTTTTTAGTAAATTTGCAACAAGCCATGACCATTCCAGAATGGGCCCCAGGTATCTGACTAGGGAGACAGAAATGTTAAAGTGAAGGCTGACCCTCAGTCCATCAGAGGTATGGACAGAGGCTTATATGACTGGTGAACACCAAGAACAAAATTCACCCTCTAACCCCTGAAATTTGAGAATGTTCCTATTATTTTGTTAATAAGTAAAATAGCCACAGCAGTGTAAGTCCATAGGTAATACTTTTTGCTAATTAAAGAGGTGAATGTGGAGGGAAATTAGTTTGTCTAGTTGACATTTTATGTAAACGATTGAACTTGAATACTTCAGTATGTGCTAATTGACCATTTTTCTGCTTCTGTGAATTGCCTGCTTATAATGTTTTGCTGTTGTCCCTCGTCTTCTAAATAATAGCTACCTTTAGTGTTAAGCATACTAAAACATTGTCAGGTGTGGCTATTAACTCTTCCTAGTGTCTACTTTTTGTGTTTCCAAGTTTACATTTTTGTCATAGAAAGCCTTCCATTATTTTTTATTTAGTGTGTGTTTAAAATGTATACTAACTACATGCATTTGAGTGAAAGGTTTACATTTGTGCATAGACAAAACTGCCTTTTAAATTTGCAGCTTTCCAGTTTTGCACGGGAATGTTTCTTCTAAGTGAGGCTAAAGAAAGCATTTTTTTCTGAATTTTGAGGGTAATATTTTCATTTTTTAAAAAGTAAAAAACATATATATGATGATATAGCTTTCTTTTTCCAAATAGATTTTCAGTTACACCAACATAATTTTTTATTGCTTGTGTGTGTAAAAGTTTCTATTTTAAAAAAAATTGTAAAATACTATATTCCATGGGTTTACTTTCTGTCATACACGTGAATGTGTTTGTGTGTTTGGAATTCCACCCTTAAATATAAAAGTTAACTGAATTGCCTGGAAATTCAGATGAATTTATTTTGTTTTTAATCTTTTTCCACATTTTTACATGGCAGTTACCTGAAAACATCAGGTTTGATTGTAAATGTGTTATACATGTATTCCTTAAGAATTAGTGTTACACAGATGGTTTTTAGAAGCAGAAAAGAGGACCAGTGGAAAGATGGAGGAAAGCTCTGTAAATTGCTGACACCCTCTGACAAAGACAGGAGGAAGCCAAGGATATAGCTGGTGATGTTTTGCTATCTAAGCACATGACGCAGGAGAGGCTTGCCACTCTTGGGTCCTCTAGTCTTTCTGGGAGGCTCTCTCTTCCCTAGGCTTCTAGCTCCTCACTGACCAAACACCTCACAGTGGAATAGACTGATTCAGAAACCCATCTTTACAAACAAAAAACAAACAGAAGCCCATCTTCTAAATAAGCCATTTTCCCACTTTGATTTGAAATTTAAATGAATGACTTTGCTTTAAATATAACTTACATTATATGTTAATGTATATGGACTTACATATGAATGTGTGTATGCATATTACATACATTAACCTAAGTCTGCATCTTCTATTTTTATCCCTCTGATCAGTTTATCTATTGTCATGTATAATTCCAATATGTTTTACTGTGATATTTCTAGATATATTTTAATATCTTGGAACATAAATCTTCCCCCACAAACCTACTTTTCTAAAACACTATTGGCTAGTTTCAAGGATTATGCCATAAAATTTTAAATTCCTTTTTGCAGCTAAATGTAGAAGAATTCTGCATCACATTTGACTAACAAAAACTACTCTGGATGTACTAGTGGAGGGATGGACTGAAGTCTGGCAGGTGAATAAAAAAGAGACAGTTGGTTAGGAAGTGGCCTCCATAAATCAAGAAGGCTGAAACTGAGTAATGGGTGACCAGAGGGTGAGCCATTTCCCAGACAGAAGCAACTGGACTTGAAGTATGAAGGAAAGTGAGTCAAAACTTTGAAGGGAGTAGGCAAACTTTCAGTTCTCTCCTGGAGTTAGCACTCCAGAGGAAGAAGCAGTCTTGAAAGGAGATAGAAGGGAAAAAATTGCATTCGTGTGCAGATCACTTGAGTTTGATGCTTGTCAGGGGGCAGACAGAAATTGGTGGTGATATTAATGATTTGTCTTTGGAAATATTTAAGAGTTTTTCAAACAAAGTTCTAGAGCTTTTTCTATGTACCGCTTTTTTGTGAAGCTCCACTTGTTTTCTGACTCATACCTATTGTAAGCTTTGAAGATAGATTACCATCAACAGAATCTCTTCTTGGGGAATGCAAATTTATTTGTATATGTTGCAAGTACAGTTTTTGAAGATGTTAATCTTTCAGTAGAAATATTTTATGCAAGTACTGTAAGAGCATTTTTTTTTGTTTTGTTTTGTTTTTTGTCTTTTTGAGACAGGGTTTTGCTGTGCAGTTTAGGCCAGCCTTGAACTCATTTTGTAGCCCGTCTGGCCTCAAACTCACAGCAATCCTTTTGTCTCCACAATCATGCCTGGTGATATTGTAATATTCTTGAAAAGCTTCATACTCTTTGGTGATCATTACAGTTTTCCTTTTATCACAAAAAAGTCTGTTTCAGCTACTGAACAGAAATAAATGTCAGGGCTGGGGTGTAGCTCAGTAGTAGAGCCTTTGCATAGCATGTTCAAAGCCCTGGGTTTTGATCCCCAGTATTTTAAAAAGGCATAGTAAAAGGAAGGCAGGAAGTGGGGAGGGAGTGAAAGAAAAGGGAGAGGGAGGAAGGAATTAGGAAAGGAAGAAAAGAAAGAAAGTTAGAAATTGTGAAATGTCAGGCATAGAAAGACACCTACCACATGATTTCACTCCTATATGTGATCTAAAACTGCTGATTTCATACAGGTTCAGAGTAGAAAGAATGGTGATTGCCAGGAGGCAGGGAAATTAGGGGGCAAGATGGGAAAGGTTGGTGAGTACTCTGTTACAGTGAGGTAGCAGCAAGGAGTTCTGGTGTGTTATCGCAGTGTGGTGACCGCACTATTAATATACTGCACATTTCAAAAAGTTAGCAGGTGGGCCCAAACCTGCGATCCTAGCACTTTGGAGGCCGCAGCAAGAGGATCAAGAATGTGAGGCCAACCTGAACTTACCTAAAGAAAAAATAAACAAAAACTAGAAGAGAGGACTTTTAAAGCTTTCGCCATAAAGTAATGATGAACATTTGACACTGGATGTGTTTAATCTGACTCAGACACTAAAAAGTATACTTGAATTGAAATGGTACCCCCGACACAATTTTATATTCTTATGTACTTAAAAAGCAAAATTTATATTTCACTTTTTCTCAAAGTATTTTGCAGAGATGCATATTCTCATGGCCTTTTCACTTTGTTTTTTCAGAACTTGACAGCCCAGAAGAGCTAGGGAAGAAGCGGATCTGCAGGATAATCACTAAGGATTTCCCCCAGTATTTTGCAGTGGTTTCTCGGATTAAGCAGGAAAGCAACCAGATTGGTCCTGAAGGTGGAATTCTGAGCAGCACTACCGTGCCCCTGGTCCAAGCATCTTTCCCTGAAGGTGCTTTAACCAAGAGGATTCGAGTGGGCCTCCAGGTACCGTTCAGAAGGTGTCCTTTTCACAAGTGCTGCGTTCCTCGGCACGTAGGGAGGGCACTGAGTGTGTTCTGCTCTGGAAACAGTCATAGTAACTTGTCCTCAATGACATTGCTAATTAAGTCATTGTGGAAATAAGTAGTCTATTTCAAATGAAAAGCATGCCGTGTAAAGTTAGTGTCCAGATGAAAAAGATTGTGTACTTTGGAGTTTTTCCATTTAAAAGTCTCAGTAGGTTTCTGAGGAAGCATAATGTTTTCACCTGAAGCTTATTGGTCTCAGTGTGTGGAGCAGCTTACTAAAACTTGGTTTATAGTATGCCACATCATAAAAATCAGTCATATGAAGCTCTTGGGGTTTAAGTAAATCATAAATGCTGGGTTTCATCCAGACCAGTTGAAGCTGGCTTTAGTTTAGAAAGCTGACTGGAAATATTGGCAAGAATGATCCTTGTTTATTCATTTTAGTTAGTTTATACCGTAGCTAGTATAAATGAATGAATAAGGAAAATGAACTTCCAATAACTCATCTGGTATTAATTAACGTAGTAATTAATAGTTTAGCTGGAAGTTAATGCTATTTTTGTGAGACTGAAATCTCATACCAGGGAGCAGTTGGATTCTTTTCAACCCCACATGCTAAGCACTGGAGAGCCTGTAGTACATACTTGGAGCCAGAGACCACCTTCCCTTTCAGTGAATTCTCTATGTCTCTCATGTTGAATTGTTTTACCAACTAGGAAAAAAACTAAAAGGCATAAGTTAGCCTCATACACTAGAATTCAAATCCCTTGAAATGTTGGGTGCCCTTTTTGTTCCGTCCCTAAAAGCCTCAACTTTTGCATAGGTGCAAGTTGACTTTGTGAGGTTTTATGGAATGTCCTGCATAAGTTTAAAGTGTACTGAACTAAATATTCGTTGTCCTTGACTTTGAGCTTCCATCCTCTGAGATTTGTTGCCTGTTTGCCCAGGAAACTAGTACCATCTGTGTTCTAGTAAGGAAGTAGGTTGACTTGTTCCTGCCATGTGGTAGCTCCTTTGGTTTTATTTCATGTCTTCCTAAAATAGAAAAGATGAAGAAAAGCATTTATTGTCATGGTATGTCAGACTATTGTCTTTCTCCTGTGAAAAGTCAACTCTCTGTTGGAAAAAAAATGTTTAGTTTCAGTTAAGGTTCTTTTGCTTTCTTTAGGCCCAACCTGTTCCAGAAGAAATTGTAAAAAAGATCCTTGGAAATAAAGCAACGTTTAGCCCAATTGTCACTGTGGAGCCCAGGAGGAGGAAATTCCATAAACCAATCACTATGACCATTCCTGTGCCCCCGCCCTCTGGGGAAGGTGTATCTAATGGATACCAGGGGGACACAACACCCAACCTACGCCTTCTCTGCAGCATTACAGGTGTGGTTAAGCTCTACTTCCTGTGGATTTGCAGTGATTCTGTGCAGTGACATAAAATCTTGGAAAAATCCATGCCACCTGTATAACAGTAGGATGTAAAGGATAAAATACTTACTCTTTTCTACCACCTCATCCCTTTTCTTCTCAGACTATTTTTTTAAGATGATGGACTTGAGCTCATTTTTGTCTTTTATTTTGGTACCAGGAATTGAATTCAGGACCTTGTGCTTACCAGGCAGGCGCTGTGCCACTGAGCTGTATCATTGACCTCGTGACTCATTTAACATTTAGAGCTATCCCCTTCCTGATGTTAGGTTTAGTGTCAATAAGAAAGTCTTTTTAGAACTGTTGAGCTATTATCAACTCTACTAGAGCAAGCAGTTAGGAAATTTCTTAGTGAACTAGACACAAACAGTAAAACTAGCAAAGCCCTTTAGACTTGCAGGAATTTGGATGGGCTGTGGGGCAAATAGCTCTCCCATGGAGCACTGATTATAGGGCACTGTGGAGTTTTTTATTGTTCTCACGGATTCTGTTCACCAGTGCAGTCAGTCAGCTAAACAGCCAGGATTGCGAGACCACAACTACCCAGAATCCAGACCCCAGTTCATCTTTTGATAATCCTGATCCATGTTTTAGCTAATGTCCATAGGCTTTGTTTTATATTATTTTATTATTTTTTTTTTTTGAGGAGTAATTTTAACGATCGATTCTTTTTCCCTGGAAAAGTAAATGGTTCAGTTAGGTATAAAATGAGTTCCTTCCTACCTGGGCTTGTGGCATATGCCTATAATCTCAGCCCTTGGGAAAGTGAGGTAGGAGGATTGCTGTGAATTTGAAAAGTTAGTAATAATTTACAAAGAGAGCATAGTAAGCTGGTAAAAGTATAAAAAGGGAGTAAAGAGGAAACCTACCTTTAGCACATACCATTCCACTGAAAAAGTGTTTCATCAGATACTGGCTATGCAGGGAGCAGAGCAGGATGACAATAAAAAGGATTCAGTGAGCTTCTCCCTAATAAAATGTAATAAAATCAACATTATTTGCTGCTCCTCTCCCAGGGGGCACCTCGCCTGCTCAGTGGGAAGACATCACAGGAACAACACCTTTGACGTTTATAAAGGATTGTGTCTCTTTTACAACCAATGTTTCTGCCAGGTATGAAAACAGATTCTGAAAGGCACTGAGGAATTGGCTTACTTGTGTTACTACATTTTGGGAAGTAAAAACTGTTGTGCTCTATAGCAGTGTTATTTTTATAGTATTTCTTTTCCATTTTGTGGGAAAGGAGAGAGAATCCTTGCAAAAATGTTATCAAATAATAAATAACAAGTTTTCTGTGTGGATGGAGAGAGTAAATGTGTTTGCTGTTTAAATAAACAAGGTAATAGTGTTTTAGTTTAATTCCCTTATATGGGTGATTTTGTTGTTTGTTTTGGAGTTAGGGATTAAACTCAGGGCATATGCCTATTCTCTGCCACTGAGCTATAGCCCTAGCCTCTGATTTTTTAAATTAACAAGAAATATTTTTTAAAGATAGTAGCTTCTGTATCATATTTTCATAGTTCCGTTTTGTTTGTCTCAGATTCTGGCTTGCAGACTGCCATCAAGTTTTAGAAACCGTCGGGTTAGCCACACAACTGTACAGAGAATTAATATGTGTTCCATATATGGCCAAGTTTGTTGTGTTTGCCAAAATGAATGATCCTGTAGAATCTTCCTTGCGATGTTTCTGTATGACAGATGACAAAGTCGACAAAACTTTAGAACAACAAGAGAATTTTGAGGAAGTTGCAAGAAGCAAAGATATTGAGGTACCTGGTCCACAAAAACAGCTCCATCCAATAGCCGTGCCCAGACACAGGTTTCTCTCTTCAGGCCCTAAGGAGCAGTCACTACATACTATGTACATTACTGATTTTACTTTTAATTTAAAAATTGATGTAGATTCATTCCCAAGTTATTTGAAACATCTTTGAGATTATTTCAGTTGGTTAAAATGTAGCGCAAAGGAATCTAAGTTATGGCCACTAGTGTGTGTTATTTTCATTGTCACCATCGACATTCATTTCTGTCATTTTCCTTTTTCAAACCCAGTGGTCATGTGGGTATCCAAAGCTAAGAATTTTTTTTTCAGAGTCTATAAAAATAAGTGATGACATCAGGCACTTTTCCAAACATGTTTAAAAGTGCCAGAACAGAAGTATAGAATTCTACTTTACACATGCCCATAGTAATGATTTCCAGTCCCAACTATTGGATTGTAACTCTGCAGAATGGTTTTTATGGCAGACAGTATGATGGAAGTAATTTCCTAATGAGGAGGCAAAAATGACAACATGTCTTTTAATATTAGATGTTTTAAAATCTCAAAATTCTCCTAATTTAAATTGGCACTAAATTATGCATTTCTTTTACTCTCAAGGTTCTAGAAGGAAAACCTATTTATGTTGATTGTTATGGAAATCTGGCTCCGCTTACCAAGGGAGGACAACAACTCGTTTTTAACTTTTATGCTTTTAAAGAAAATAGACTGCCATTTTCCATCAAGGTAACTATCTTCAACAGAGACTCTGAATTTAATAAAATAAATAAGTAAAAGCAAAGCTCTTAGAGAATTAAAAGGTTTCAATGATTTAGCTTGAAATTTTCCACCAAACCTGAACTCCTAAAGAACAAGGTCAGATTCAGTGAAGCTTTCCAACTAGTAAAAGCTAGTTTTTACCTTTTAAAAAATGTATGAGTCATTTATATTTAAGGAATTGTTTATAAAACCAAACAAGAATGAATTCACCAAATCTGGTTAATATCCAGTAATCAAAGAAATGGGTGGCACACTTGTAATCCCAGCACTTGGGAGGCTGAGGCAGGAGAATCACTGTGAGTTCAAGGGCAGCCTGGATTGGACTACATAAGCAAGTTCCGACCAGCCTAAACTACATAGGGAGACCCTGTAACTCAAAAAAAAAGGATGAAATCCAGATTCAGTGGTCAAGTTTCATTTCCATTTCTGAGGGAGACCGCAGATATTCTTGAGACACACTCTTCCTCCTTAAAAGAACAGAAGTCAGGGTAGTTGTTTCATTATTACTTTAATCTGCTGCTATTGTTTTATGTTTGAGAGAAGCTTTGAGAGACAGAAATTATTAGACCAGAAGAAAATCCATTTACTGCGCACTCTGCTATGAATTATCAAGATAGGACAAGCAGACACAACAGTCCTGTTGTTTGAAGCTCATAACTGAGTCCCTAAATCTTGCCTAGTCCAACCGTAACTACCATGGTTGACATATATTGTCATCATCTTTTCCTTTTATCTTACCTATCTATAAGAGGGTTTTATAGAATAAACACACTTTGCTCTTACACAGAAGGAATCCTCAGGAAAGTCTTTTTCTGTAACTGTCAACCACCTAAATTCTTCTAGATTAGAGACACCAGCCAAGAGCCCTGTGGTCGTCTGTCTTTTCTGAAAGAACCAAAGACAACAAAAGGACTGCCTCAAACAGCTGTTTGCAACTTAAATATTACTCTGCCAGCACATAAAAAGGTATCTTTTAACACTGGTTCATATAAGCTTCTTCCCCTGGTCTTGAAAAAGTGGGCCCTTGGTGTGCAATGAAGGAATGCTTTGTTACAGAATTAAAGCTCTTGAAACTGGCATTTTTTTAGTCTTCTTGTGTAGATTGACAAAGTCTTGTTATTGTGTTGTCAGATTTTTATAGTTTGTATGACACAGTCCTCTGTTTATCGCTTCTGCTGCTAGTTCATAGATTTTTGTATGCTTTCAAATAGCGTCACACGTTAATTTGCTGTGAATGTACAGTTCTTGATATTTTTTGGTTGGCTTTTGATTTGCTTCGCTTTCTAAACCAGCTTGCATTTTGTGCTCCCTACTCAGTCCTTTTCATATCCTGATATTCTTTTCCCTGCTGTCCATTATAATATTCCTTGTCTCTGCAATGCATCTTGGGACCAAAAGGAGACAGAGTCAGATCAAGATGATGAGGTAATATAAAAACTTCTGCTTTTATTCTATCAGAAGTAGAACAGATATTGAAAATGTATGAAGAGGGCTGAAATGTGGGAAATATACCAGTTATATTTGTTGTAGGCTTTAGCTTATGTGAGGTAAAGCATATATAATTTTCTTTAAAAGTAGTTTACTTTCTACACATCCACCTAAAAGTATGTCAGTGTAGTTCACAAAACTATAATCCAGCTAATGATTTTAAAAGAAAAGCTGAAATTATTTAAACATTTTTTAATGTGACTGGCATGTATATTTTTTTTCAGTTTCACCTGCGTATTTTATTACCTACTTATCCTGTTATGCACTATATTATAACTTTCGAATCAGGATCATAATAAATGCATGAAATTTTACAGTAGAAATCAGTGTATATTTTACATTTCCTTGCCAGTTGTTGAAAGATATTTACTATTGCAACGAAAGAAATTTATCTTGACCATTTTTAGAGAATCAAATTGCTAAGTTTTAGAATTGCCTGTTATCTCCTACTAATTCTCCAAGTTATATGCTAGTTGTATTTTAAAAACCCACACATCAGTAATAGAGACAGTAGCCTTAGGACTCAGTAACATTACTGCTAGTAAAACCATTCCCTTGTTTTGAATCTCTTCCTCTATACTTTATGCATATTAACATATAAACCACACTGTAATTGGAATAGTAAACCGTGTGCGCCTTTTTCTCTTGAATGTACTCACGTAGTGAGTGTATTTTGTGATATATGTGCTTCAGTATGAATGACTTTGGGAAGACTTACTGCTCAGCACCAGAAGTCTCTGTGATGCTCGTCTTTTATTTGTAGTTCCCTGTAGTCCGCTGTGTTTTGCTAAATTGTGGTTATTTGGTTGAGATACTGCGGTGGGGTTGTAGAATCCCAGTAGGAATGTAACTTTTTTCAAGAGGAAAATGCTAAATTTAGAGAAAAAAAAATAAGGATAAACAAAGTATCAGAATGCCATCCTATAAAACATTATCAAAATTGTGAAAACGTCACACAGAAGTTGAAAAAAGTCTACGTTTTTCTTTTTCAGACTGAGAAAGCAGATAAACGACAGAGCTTTGCATCTTTAGCTTTACGTAAGCGCTACAGCTACTTGACTGAGCCTGGAATGAGTGAGTTTGTTAACACATTTACTAATCTGTGTGGAATTTTTTCAAGAAGAGACATTTTTTCTATACAAACTAAATTTTACTGTCATTTGGAAACTCAATAATGAAGAAAAAATTACAGAAAAACCCTATTGTGAAATCTAGGTAATACTTTGTGTGTAGTTGAAGATACACAGTGCAGACACCTGTAGTTCATAGCTTCAAAAGTTTTGTTGTTTTCTAACCATTCATTTTATGTGGTGATTGTAAACTATGCTCAGGGGCAAATGGCAATGTTGCTTTTAATCTGTGCTCAGAAGAAAACATATTTACTCCTGTGTATTTGGGATAGTCGAAAGTATGGTAGAGTTACTTTGAATGTCATCTCACTTAATACAGATTGTTGTACTAGCCCCAGTTCTTTTTCTTCTTGCTTTGCAAGAACTTTGTATTCTTACCTTCCTATGGTAGTACTTTTATTTACTAGTTTCTTGTGTCTTCCATCTGCTTTCTATAAAATATTAGTTCTAAGGCTTGTTTTTACTAGACTGGTTAAATTCTTTTATCTGGATGATTGTTTTGGTTCATTGTTTACTGGTTTCCACGTAAGGTATGATTCATTCAATCATATGCATTCTCTCTCTCTCTCTCTGCCTCCTGTCTCTCCTTGCCAGCACTTTGTAGTTGTCACGTCTGGTGCTCACCACAGCCTTCGAGGTGATGCCCTCCACCAAGGGAACTGAGCACAGAGGGCAGAACCATCTTTGACTGATGTAGACTGGTGATACTTTGAGCATCTGAGGGCTTCATTTTGAAGAAGGTTTATGCAAAAAAAAAAAAAACCTCTAATTAATCCTGATTGTTTCCCATTGACTCATATTATTTAACTTGAGTTTAGGAAGGTTTGGAAATTTACCATCAAGGCCCACAATTTTCATTTTTCCCATCTTTTCTTAATTCTTTTCTCTGTGAACCAATCTAGCATGTGAAATATGTAGGAAGAAACTACTTCACGGCTTAGATTAGATATCCTTAGCATTATCTTCCAAAGTCTAGTTCCTTGACTGTTGAGAAAGCTTTCATATTCAGATAACAAATGGGAAATACAAGAGAAATGAAACCCTACACACTTATGAATGTTTCTTCCCATCTGAATGTTCTCCATTAGCAGAGATGTCTGAATCCTCTCAGAAACCTAAGGACTGAAACTAACTCCTGTTATCCCAAAGAGCATGAAGAGGGTATGTGGACAGTGAGATAGTGTTCAGTACAGATAAACAGAGTATACATTTTCTTTGGAATATTATTTTTCCCTTGAGATCCTCACTGCATTCTGGTTGTCCCCAGCCCAGCCTTGCCCCCACAGGCAGTATGCTTAAATTTTGGACAGGCTTGATGGGCTGGCCACTTTAGGTCAGAGGCACTTGGGGCAGGGAGGTTCCCATCTCTTTCTGGTACCTAAGGTGTATGTTTGGAGGATACCTGACTCAGAAGATCACACAGGTGCTAAATGCATAAGCTACCTTATTAGGTAGCTTCAGTTAGGTACATGTGCTTGTCTTTTGACTGAAAGAAGGGGATAGTTTTCTGTGTTTGAATGGGCACATAAAAAGGTGATAAACAGGAATGGAAAGGAATAAAAAGGGACTGAGAGAAAACAGGCAATGTCATGGCCTCTGAATTGCTGTTAGAACTCCCAAGTGAAAAGCAATGTTCCCTCATCAACTTGCCCCCCGAAAAAGATACTGATGTAGTTGGCTTAACATCCAGAATTTCCTTTGGTATAGGACATCACAAAGTGTGTCATTAAAACATAGAGGTATAAATGGTTGGGAAGTTGATTGTTCCTTATAAAGTATAAAACCATAGACATGGTTCAGACGGCTGCTTAGCAGAGCCATTCTTCAATAGCAAAGAAAATATGCTTCTCCAGCTTCATCCAGCCTGGATGATTTGGTGAGATCTTGCCTAATAAAAATCAAAAAGGGCTGATAATGCAGCTCAGTGGTAGATTTCTTGCCTTTTATGCTTGAGGTCCTGGGTTCAATTCTCAGTACTACAGATTATTTTAAGATATGAACTAAGTCCAAAGGATTGAAACCAAGGACTCCCCAAATCATCCATTTGTAATATAGCATTTCCCTAAAGAATTAATCAATATAATATTGAGAATTATGGCTAGGAGACAGCAATGAGTAGATGCATTTTTCCTTAGCTCTTCCATTTTCTTTACAATAATATGTAAGCCTAATAAAGGATATATTCTGAATATTTAACTTTAAATGTACACTAGGAATGAAAATCTTCACCCTTACAGGAGTAGCTGCTAATCCAAGGCCTGGATTGTAGCAGTGGCATGGGTACAGCATGAAGATGATGAAACAGATTCTCATTTTCTCATCAAGTTTCACTGTTCTGAACCATTGCTTTCTTGGAGTAAGCCTATACTCAGCTTTGACCTAGAACATGAATCCTTGGCAGGCATTCCAAATCTCTGTGACGGGCTTAGTTTGTTTCTTAGAGTTGTAGAAGCAGAGAGGACTAAGTATGTGTTTGCTCTCCCCAGCGAGTGTGCTTACTTCATTTGTGTGTTTCTTGCCCCATTGCAAAAGGAATGCTGGTACTACATCCGTCTTTCCTAGTGGTAGGTCTACCTTATGGCTGTTCTAGTGTTGGGGTATCGATGAGTCCCATGAATATTCTGAGAAGGCACCAGAATTGGTACCTTTGTAATTTATAATATATATAAATATATATCTCCATATATATCATATCCCAGAGGTATTTAAATATGGGGTGTTAAGAATACAACTGTGATTTTACCCGTGATACCTTTTGAGAATTAAAAGTAGAAAGATGATGAAAAATATGCAATAAACTGTATGCTTTTATTCATAAAAAGACAGCTATAGACATGGATATATTTAATTGCAGATGTATTTTATATTAAGCAGTATTGAATATTTTCCTAAAATCTCAAAAGGTACCAAGACTTCACATCTCATGGAAAAAGTGTACTCTTCTTTCTAAATGGTCTTGTGAAAGTATTTTTAAAGGTTATACATTATGCATAATATGGCATACAAATTGTATTTCTTCATTGGCTTGTTTGCCATGATATACTGCGCATGATAAAATGTTTTCAGTTGCTTTGCTTGCTTACGGTAACTATGGACCATATTTTCTGGTTTTTTTCTCCCCTTTGTGTGTACATATGCATTTTATATTCATTTCATGTTACATTTTCTTTTCCCCTCATCAAAAGGAATATACTGCATGGAAAAGATAAATGCAAACATTCCTTTTGTTTTTGGTTTTTGTTTTTGTTTCAAATCCTTACTCAAAAAATTTCTTGCTCTTATTGGCTTTTTATGGGTGTGGAGCATAACTGAATTGTGCATGGAAGATAAAGATTTAAAATCCAGTGGCTTAACAGTTTGCACACCAGTTGCCTGTCTCTTAATAGTTTCCAGATTCTGCATGTAATAGGCTTGAGTGGCTTTCTAAAAAAGAATTTAAGCTATTTAATGTATAGATTTGCTTAATGGTTCTAAGTAGGTGCAATCTGTATCATGGAAAGGCTCTAGGAGAGTGAATGTTAGAAATTACTAAAATGAGAGTGCTATGGTTGCACAAAATAAGCATTCCTATACAGGCAAAGCAGAATGGCTACTGAAATTTCAATACCAGCACATAAGAAAGTCAATAGGAAGTAAAGGAACAGTTTTCCATGTGGTTATTTTTCTCATCATTAATCCTTTCCTCATGTTTTCTATTTTTCATTGTTGGCTTATTTGGTTGCAATGTGCCTTTCCTGTCTTTCATTTACCATTGCTCTTTTTTTATTTATTTAGTCATTTTTCTTTCTTTTTTTTTTTAATTTTGGATTAGTTATGTCTGTAGGATTTTTTTTCCTCTTATTTAATTGTTCCTTTTGCCTCTTCCATTCTAAATCATGCAAAAAATTGTACTTGCTTTTGTAATATTTCAAAGTTTACTGACCAATTTTTTTCTCTGGTCTCTCTGTTTCTCAACCATTTTTGTTGATTTTTGTGTTTGATTTCATTTTTAAATTTAAGAAACAGTTGAACGGAGTGCAGGAGCAACAAGATCCCTCCCTACCACTTACTCATACAAGCCATTCTTTTCTACAAGACCATACCAGTCCTGGACAACAGCTCCGATTACAGTGCCCGGGCCGGCCAAGTCAGGCTTCACTTCCTTATCAAGTTCTTCCTCTAATACGCCATCAGCTTCTCCGTTAAAATCAATATGGTCTGTTTCGACTCCTTCTCCAATCAAATCCACATTAGGCGCATCAACTACATCTTCAGTTAAATCCATTAGTGACGTGGCATCGCCAATTAGATCTTTTCGGACAATGTCTTCGCCAATAAAAACAGTGGTGTCACAGTCTCCATACAATATCCAAGTTGCCTCTGGTACCCTGGTTAGAGCTCCCACAGTCACAGAGGCTATGCCCTTAAAAGGGCTAGCAGCCAATTCTACGTTTTCCTCTCGCACCTCTCCCGTGACTACAGCAGGGTCTCTTTTGGAGAGGTCATCAATTACTATGACACCTCCTGCCTCCCCCAAATCAAATATTAATATGTATTCCTCAAGTTTGCCATTTAAGTCGATTATTACATCAGCAGCACCTCTAATATCTTCACCCTTAAAGTCAGTGGTGTCTCCAGCTAAATCAGCAGTTGATGTCATTTCATCAGCTAAAGTTACAACGGTATCTTCCCTCTCGTCACCTTTGAAACAGATCCCTGGACATGCAGAGGTAGCATTAGTCAATGGATCTATTTCTCCTTTGAAATATCCATCAGCTTCAACTTTAATTAATGGGTGCAAAGCCACTGCCACTTTACAGGACAAAATTTCTACAGCTACAAACTCTGTGAGCTCTGTGGTGAATGCAGCCACTGACACAGTTGAGAAAGTATTTTCTACCACAACAGC